TATATATATATATACATACACATTTACAGAAACAATATTGTCACACAGAAAAAGTGCATTTTTTCATAACAAACCTGAATATTTCCAAAGAAGAAACATTTAAGTTAGCAATAGTATTGAAACTTGTATAAAAACAAAGCCATATAAAACAAGAGTAGTGTAGCAACCAAAGCGGGATGCAAGATGCATCAAGGTGTCAACACTGTTAGGTGCACTGGTCTGTTCTTGCTGCTTCCCCTTTAACTTCCTGCTCCACCGGATGACTACTGGATGGTAGAGTCTCCTGCTCCGTTGGCTGTCCTATAGTACGCGAGGCTACGGCGGCTCCTAGTCTGAAGCTGGGCGCTTGTGTTTTACTGTCTCTGGCACCGTGTTCGGTGGTCTCATCAGCAGACTTGTGGGTGTGGACGGAGCTTTGTGAGCTGCCATATTGCTTTAAGTCTGTGGTCTCCATTTCTGGTTTGGAACGTATAAGTGCTGTGCTAAGACTGTGTTGCACTGGCTGGCTGGTTCCTGCTGCCTGGTGCTCTGACCAGTTATCTCCAGGAGTCCTAAACCTTTGAGTTCTGGGGGTCCCGCCCCAGTATTGTTCAAAGCGGGCCAGTGATGGCCCCTCCAGTGGGGGAGATGTTGGAGATGAGGGTGTAGTAGGGTGGGAGCTGGGTCTGGCCTGTACCATTTGGATACCGCCGATTGGTATCATCAGGTAGGGGAGCCTGGCTTGTTGGGAGTGCAGGGGGAGGTGGCTGAAGATGTTGTCTGACCTTTGTACGATGGGATAACTTTCGCTGGTGGAAAGACGGAAAGCAGATGGGAACAAACTGGTTTCTGAGGATGATGGCCCTTCTCCCGCTGCTCCACTTTTCTCCTGCAGAGGGAGCAGACAGTTTATTTTAACAGCTCAGCCCAGACCCAAAGTACTGAACAGAATGCAGAGAAAACATTTGTATTTGTCATAGTCATTACCATTTTTTTAAATCATTATCATTGTTTCCTGTTTAAATGTCTACAGATCTATGTGTAATATAATGTTTTTTTTTATTATATATCTATATATATAAAATAAAGAACTGACCAGTTTGATGGGACCTCCTTTTTTACCAGGACTCTCCCAAGGCAAGTATCCAGGGGTTTTATGCTGCACCCCCAGTGGTGGTGGAGGGGTCCGCTCTCGAGATGCTTGGTAGCAGCTGGGTGAAGTGGGTCGAAGAGGAGAGATGGGTCTGATGGGAGATGGCCTTCTCTCAGGGGACGGTGACAAGTGTAGGCTGGGCGAGGACAGCTCAGTCCTGGGGGACAAGCTGTGGATTGGAGAGGACAGTTCCAGGCGAGGGGAGAGACTGCGGCTGGGAGAGCAGCTCTCACTGCTGGGGGAGAAAGCTCTTGGACAGGCCTTCCAGCCCCGCCGGGAAAACAGTGCTCTCCTCCTGCCTGGCGAGACCACTCGCCTGCTGGGCCAGATGCCACGCAGGGAGAGTTCCTGAATGGGACTCGGACTATGATCCGGATCAGGAGTGCCCTGCTGGGAGCGCCGACTGCAGCTCGAGTGCCCCCCTGTTGATGGGTGGTTGTCTGATGAACAAGAGGACAGTGGGTCTTCATGGTAGGTGGTCTCCTCGTCCTCCTCGTCCTCCTCATTGTCAGATTCTTCCACATCGGAGAACTGATGCTCCTCCTGTTCCTCGGAGCCGAAAACATGTTCCTCGCTTCCTGTTTTGAGCACAGATAAAGAAAACATTAACATCTTTGTGACTCTAAACTATACAATAGATAGATAGTTTAGAGT